GATCTGAGCTATAGCCATTTATAACTACCTTTTCATATCGATTTTCTTAGTAACTGTCAAACCATCGCAATAACTTTCCACAGATATCACAATGTTGTAGTTTATGAATGGTTCTTTGTGTCACACTTTATCAAAAGCCTATCTTATATCACAGAATACATTCCTAACTTCCTTACCTTCATGGATGTATGGGGAGATAGGTACACTATATAGGCTTGGTACATGGGAAGATATGTGCACTTTATAGACTGGTTACATTGGGAGATAGGTGCACTATATAGGATGGATGCATGGGGAGATAGGTGCACTATGTAGGCTGGTTACATGGGGAGATAGGTGCACTATGTAGGCTGGTTACATGGGGAGATAGGTCACTATATAGGCTGGTTACATGGGGAGATAGGTCACTATATAGACTGGGAATATGGGGAGATAGGTCACTACATAGACTTGTTACATGGGGAGATAGTTGCACTACATAGACCGGGTGCATGGGGAGATAGGTCACTATATAGGCTGGTTACATGTGGAGATAGGTCACTATATAGACTGGTTACATGGGGAGATAGGGGCACTATATAGACTGGTTACATGGGTAGATAGGTCACTATATAGGCTGGGTACATGGGAAGATAGGTCACTATATAGGCTGGTTACATGGGGAGATAGGGGCACTATATAGACTGGTTACATGGGGAGAAAGGTCACTATATAGGCTGGGTACATGGGAAGATAAGTGCACTATATAGGCTGGGTACATGGGAAGATAGGTCACTATATAGGCTGGGTACATGGGGTGATAGGTGCACTATATAGACTGGTTACATTGGGAGATAGGTGCACTTTATGGGCTGGTTACATGGGAAGATAGGTGCACTATATAGGCTGGGTACATGGGAAGAATGGTGCACTATATAGGCTGGGTACATGGGAAGAAAGGTGCACTATATAGGCTGGTTACATGGGGAGAAAGGTGCACTATATAGGCTGGTTTCATGGGGAGATAGGTGCACTATATAGACTGGGTACATGGGGAGATAGGTGCACTATATAGGCTGGTTACATGGGGAGATAGGTGCACTATATAGGCTGGGTACATGGGGAGATAGGTGCACTATATAGGCTGGTTACATGGGGAGATAGGTGCACTATATAGACTGGGTACATGGGGAGATAGGTGCACTATATAGGCTGGTTACATGGAGAGATAGGTGCACTATATAGGCTGGGTACATGGGGAGAAAGGTGCACTATATAGGCTGGTTTCATGGGGAGATAGGTGCACTATATAGGCTGGTTACATGGGGAGAAAGGTGCACTATATAGGCTGGTTACATGGGGAGAAAGGTGCACTATATAGGCTGGTTTCATGGGGAGATAGGTGCACTATATAGACTGGGTACATGGGGAGATAGGTGCACTATATAGGCTGGTTACATGGAGAGATAGGTGCACTATATAGGCTGGGTACATGGGGAGAAAGGTGCACTATATAGGCTGGTTTCATGGGGAGATAGGTGCACTATATAGGCTGGTTACATGGGGAGAAAGGTGCACTATATAGGCTGGTTACATGGGGAGAAAGGTGCACTATATAGGCTGGTTTCATGGGGAGATAGGTGCACTATATAGGCTGGGTACATGGGGAGATAGGTGCACTATATAGGCTGGTTACATGGGGTGATAGGTGCACTATATAGGCTGGGTACATGGGATGATAGCTGCACTATATAGGCTGGTTACATGGGGAGATAGGTGCACTATATAGACTGGGTACATGGGGAGATAGGTGCACTATATAGGCTGGTTACATGGGGAGATAGGTGCACTATATAGGCTGGGTACATGGGGAGATAGGTGCACTATATAGGCTGGGTACATGGGGTGATAGGTGCACTATATAGGCTGGTTACATGGGGAGATAGGTGCACTATATAGGCTGGGTACATGGGGAGATAGGTGCACTATATAGGCTGGTTACATGGGGTGATAGGTGCACTATATAGGCTGGGTACATGGGGGGATAGGTGCACTATATAGGCTGGTTACATGGGGAGATAGGTGCACTATATAGGCTGGGTACATGGGGAGATAGGTGCACTATATAGGCTGGTTACATGGGGAAATAGGTGCACTATATATGCTGGGTACATGGGGAGATAGGTGCACTATATAGGCTGGGTACATGGGGTGATAGGTGCACTATATAGGCTGGTTACATGGGGAGATAGCTGCACTATATAGACTGGGTACATGGTGAGATGGATGCATGGGGAGATGGGTGCACTATATAGGCTGGGTACATGGGGAGATAGGTCACTATATAGGCTGGGTGCATGGGGAGATAGGTGCACTATATAGGCTGGGTACATGGGGAGATAGGTCACTATATAGGCTGGGTGCATGGGGAGATAGGTGCACTATATAGGCTGGGTACATGGGGAGATAGGTGCACTATATAGGCTGGGTACATGGGGTGATAGGTGCACTATATAGGCTGGGTACATGGGGTGATAGGTGCACTATATAGGCTGGTTACATGGGAAGATAGGTGCACTATATAGACTGGGTACATGGGGAGATAGGTGCACTATATAGGCTGGGTACATGGGGAGAAAGGTGCACTATATAGGCTGGGTACATGGGGAGATAGGTGCACTATATAGGCTGGGTACATGGGGAGATAGGTGCACTATATAGGCTGGGTACATGGGGAGATAGGTGCACTATATAGACTGGGTACATGGGGTGATAGGTGCACTATATAGGCTGGGTGCATGGGGTGATGGATGCATGGGGAGATGGGTGCACTATGTAGGATGGGTGCATGGGAAGATACACTGTATTGGCTGTGTACGTGGCAACATGGATAGAACACGTTGGATGAGAGATCCTATTTATATTTTGTATTCCAAGCAGCGGGTAATGGACGAAGTCTCAAGGAGAACATGTGCACTGCATTCTCGACTCCATCCAAGCAGGACGAAGGGCGTTCACTGCGTGGCGGGTACGTGAATTCGTGTTGTCATAACAGCATTTCAAACCTCAATTGTTTGAACCATAGCGGTTCAATTCGCTAATTGGAATCGGCTGAAAATGTAAATGTAAATGTAAATGTAAATTAAATTAAATTAAATTAAATTAAATTAAATTAAATTAAATTAGAGATACCATCCCATGTGGTGTGGAAAGTAACAAAGAAACCGACTCTTTAAATCGAAATTCTGTATATGGCTTGTGCTACCGGTAGAGCAGGACACGCTTACCTTTTTCGCGAACCTCTGGTGTCATCGCTGATTTTCAGCGATTTAATTATATCATTTTCATGACTGTTTTACGTTTGGAATCTGTTTCATAAGATACTCGAGAATTTACAGCCATGGTGAATGGGCTTAAAATGCAATACCAACCAGCATGTAGAGCTTTGACCGATTCTTGACTAGGGGAATCGAACCCGGTTCTTCGGCTTGACAAGCGAACGCTTTCATCAGTAGGCTACCCCCTCTGCCCATTGGATGAATGCGTCCACAGGACATGACACATCAAATAATTCTATGATGTGAGCCTATACTTGTCCTAAAAAGCCAAGAGAACTATAATGTGTTTATTTATTTGAAGGGGAAGTATTTTATCATTTAAAACGAAGGATTTCAGGGTACATGTATTTCAAATCTGAATGTGATATTATTAACGTATTGGAGAGACTGCGGGATCCTGCAAATTAAACCACCAAATCCCTGTCTTTTAGTTTCACCATAATCCTTAATACAATCCTAGCCAACAAAAGGTCAATGATGCCAAACGATTTGATTGTTTAACTTTGTACACCACTATCCCACTATGTAAGGAAAAACGTCATCCCTCGATCCGTTGGGTATTGCCAATAGGTGAGGTGAAATGGGGTTTAACGTCGCGTCCAAGATTATTGCACTTATATAGCGTGTGGCTGCTTGTACTAGTCCGGACTGATGCTGATTTATAGTGCTAGCACACTGAGATACCATGCCGCAGTTTAACATGAATACCCCACTCAGACACAGTATACTGACTCCGAGCCGACCAGTCCTTGTTTTACCCCCTTAGACAGGGTAACAACAAGTACCATCTTTTATTGCCAATAATCCTGGTGACCATAGATATAGTTACATGAACATCTCTTCTTCAAAGGTCCAGAACAATTTATAAAAAATGAAAGCAAATGTCATTTGAGAAAGAAATATATGAAATGCTTGATTTCCTCGTAGAGAATATCTTTAAGAAGTAGGCATCGCCATGGGAACCAATTGCAACTTTGCTGATAGGTTTCTTTATACTTTATGAACAGGAAGTTTATCTTAAACTTCAGGTATGTTGGTCAAATAGCCAATCTCCCTCCACTAATTTACCCACCTGAACACCCAAACTGTTAGTAAAAGAGACCAGAGAGACCGCCTCATGTGTATCATGTTTGGATCTATTCATAAAGAGTCAAAGTAACAAACATCTCTCCACAAGAGACAAGAGGGGTGACTTTCCAATCGTCAACTTTCCCTTTATGTGCAATATTCCAGCAGTTCCAGCCTTTGGTGTTTTCACAACTTTTGAGGTACAATGGGACATGCTCTTTCAACGGAAATTCCAAAGAGGGTTACGAAATTCAAGGCCTCAGTAAAGTTCTCAAAAATAAAAATGTCGTCTGATGCAATTCCCTATTTTGACGTGAACCATATGTTCCCATGTTTTCAGGAGAACACCTGACCCGCTTTTGCATGTGCCACCGTTTAGGCAGGATAGGCTCACCTTTTCACGAACACCTGGTATCATCACTGTTTGATAGTGATTCATAAACACATGCTTATGATATAGCTGAATTTTTTTAAATGCTTTTTTTCAGAGATTTTATAAGATTATGGAAAAGGTTTTGTGTCTTATTTAAAGGATGTATTACCCGTACGAACACTCTTATGCCATACGTATGTTCAAATCAATCTACAGTTCATTAATGTTTCATTTTTGTAAAGTTTCTTCGAGGCCCATGTGTGTGATTGGTTACAACGCTGGCAGGTGCACGTGTATGGGGAGTGACACAAGAGGAAGAGTCCAAGAGAAGGCAGAAAATAACCCACTAGCCAGTGTCTGGACAAAGGGTAAACTTTGATGAGGGCACGGTTGTCCAGCCACAGTTCTTTTGGGACCAACCAATTGATATTCTTGGGGATGTGGGGTGGGGTGGGTTTGTTATTTTGTATGGAGACTAGATATATATTTCAGCTGCAACTGCAAAACCAGATATTTTTTTCATTAAAACTGTGAGTCTAAATACCAAAATCTTGCATCCAAGTATTTTAGTAGTTTTTAGGCAGAAAATTTCTTTTTCTCAACATTCTGTAGCGTATTTTATTCATCAAGCATATTCACGGACAATGTATTATTTTCGAATAAGAGCTCTTACGCACAGTAAAAACATTAAAATATAACTGCTATGAATTTTTCAGAATCATGCATGATATTATAAATCAAATGTACATTATTACCAATGTTGATCCAATAATAGCATGTGCACGTCACACATTCACAGCCCACGTGGCACCGAGTAAATTGAAGCAAATCATTGAACTCTTTTAACTGTGAAGAGCAATATTCCAGCTTTATCGCGACGGGGGTAACCAGAAATGGGCTTCACACATTGTACCCATGTCGGGAATCAAACCCGGGTTTTTGGCGTGACGGGCGAACGCTTGTACTACTAGGCTACGATACGCTCCTATAATATGGTTTATATCAGGTGTGTGTTCACCCGACCCTCGTTGATACAGCCATGCAGCCCAGATGCCCTGTTTCAAGTTTTCCGAGGTTGCATGATTAGAAAACATAAATTCCGCTGACAACATAACATTACATAACAATGTGAATATTTCCTTTTTATTATTTTATTACAACGTACGTTTCATTTTCTATCGTATTGTTGTCCGATTTTCGATTACGAACCATGATACTACTTAATTTCGTTTATCCAACATACTCGTTAATCCGACATAATCTTATGCAAAGAACCATCTCGGATTAACGTGACTTGAGTGTATTATGGTTTACATTAGATATTAGAATGTGTGTGTGTGTGTGTGTGATTTTGTTTGTGTGCGCGCACGCGTGCGTCTGCGTGAGTGCCTTTGTTTGGCACTGATTTTGTTCTGCTCTATATTGTTTCATTAACAAAAGACCCGCGAAGATCCGGGGTGGAATAGGTCTTCAGCAACCCAATTGGATGGATCAATAGCTGGATTGTCTGGTCCAGACTCGATTAGTTTCAGACCGCCGTCACAGCTTGAATACTGCTGAATACGGCGTTAGACATCAAATAAACAAAACAAATCTTTTACAAACTCCCAAAATATATCTCAGAATATTATTAATATATTGTTATTTCAGTGGAACGTTGTATTTTTGTAGATCTCCCAAGAGACTACAAAGAATATGCGGTTGGCCGTGGGACGATCTACATCAAAAGGATATATGCACACACGAGATGGGATGATGCAAAGAAAGCATGTCAGAATGATGGGGCAAGACTTGTCACTGTGACCAGTGAGGAAATACAGGAAGCAGTAACGAAACTATTCAACCCCTTTGATTCATTTAAGAAAAGTTTGTATATCACTTCATTTTGACATCCTCTATGACTCCAATGTTTCATAAGGTGTGTTATAGCTAATAATTCAATAACCCGGTGATCTTTGGGCATGTCCTGTTATGATCCCCGAGTATAAAGCAACGACTGGCTTCACTACACGCCTACCCTCTAAAGATCCAGGTCAGAAATTGTCTTCAGCAACCTATACTTGTCTAGTCCAGACTAGATTTTTTCCAAACCGCCGTCATGTGGGTGGAATATTGTTCAGTGCGGCGTTAAACAACAATCAACTCATAATTCGATGTCCAAGCCAGGATCCGCTGAGCATTGGGCGATCAATTTATGAGGAATGAAATGCTACGACAAGCTTCATTAGACGCTGGAGTTCGTGAGACTTCACAACAATATTTATCATACCACCATGTCAGAATGATGAGATCTGATTGGTCCACGTGATCTTGATAAAATACTTTATCATACCCCCATGTCAGAATGATGAGATCTGATTGGTCCATGTGATCTTGAATATACTTTATCATACCCCCATGTCAGAATGATGAGATCTGATTGGTCCACGCGAGCTTGATAAAATACTTTATCAGACCTCCATGTCAGAATGATGAGATCTGATTGGTCCACGCGAGCTTGATAAAATACTTTATCATACCTCCATGTCAGAATGATGAGATTTGATTGGTCCACGTGATCTTGATAAAATACTTTATCATACCTCCATGTCAGAATGATGAGATTTGATTGGTCCACGTGATCTTGATAAAATACTTTATCATACCTCCATGTCAGAATGATGAGATTTGATTGGTTCACGCGAGCTTGATAAAATACTTTATCATACATCCATGTCAGAATGATTAGATCTGATAGGTCCACGCAAGCTTGATAAAATACTTTATCATACCTCCATGTCAGGATGATGAGTTCTGATAGGTCCACGCGAGCTTGATAAAATACCTTATCATACCTCCATGTCAGAATGATTAGATCTGATTGGTTCACGTTATCTTGATAAAATACTATGTATGCCGTCTTGGGGGGAAATAAAATCCTTAGCAGGTGAATAAATCCCTTATACGCAGCTGCTCGTGTATTTCTGAGGCAGACAAATCCTTTTTTCCAAGGCACGATGCAAAAGGCCGCACACTTTTACCGAGTTAATGGAAGTCATTGTGACACAGCACAAGTTAACCTGAGCTCAGTCGAACAGCTGTTTTCGATCAATTTTGAATGTGTTTCAATTCTTTTACAATGTTACATTAAAACATGTCGGTAAGATAAATTCGTTGTAGAAATATCATTCGGGATACATGAATAAATAAACATTACACTAAAGCTACGTAGAATTTGATTTTGAAAATTTGGTTGAATGAAAATTATGAAAAAATGAAACTTTTCTATAAAAGGTTAATGTCCCCGAAAATTCCTTCAAACCTGAATCTCTAATGGTCGGCCCCTTAACGGTTTAAACGATGCGTGGATGAGGGGAAACACGGTAATGGCAACTATGCTTCTACTCCAGTTGAGGCCTGGATTGGGTTGCGAGATCTGTGCGACAACAACAGATTTCTCTGGCCTGACGGGAAAGCCCCCACATACACCAAATGGGCGCCGGGTGAAACAACGCGTAATAACGAGGGGCGTCGTCATGAAAATTGTGTTAAAATGAAGTTCACAATGACAGGCGTGAACTGGTTTGCTGCATCCTGTGACCAAAAACATGGATATATTTGTCAGTTGTTTTTACCAGACTAAAAAGCAACCTTCCAAAAGGGCGAGATCTGACAGGTGTCATCCATGAAACACAAGTTTTGAAATAAAGAAAATATTTAAATGTTGTAACAAAACTGGCTGTGTTTTTCTTCTATCATTTGCACATTGTATTTCTGATGATTTGATCTACTACGGAAGAATAGCTAAAACGATTCAAATTTGTAGGGGAAAATTTAACCGTGAGCAAACCCCTGACCAAAAATGAATATCTATTCAGTATTTACTCACATCAGACGGCCTCTGCTGTCCAGTGATCAGGGCGTCTTCCCGGAGTGCGGGAGGACAGTGGTTCGATCTTCAGCCGTGTTATGTCAAAAGGCATAAAAAGACGGTACTTGTTGTTACCCTGCCTGGCGCTCGGCATTAAGGGGCTAAAACAAGGAGCCAGTATCCTGTGTCTGAGTGGGGAATTCATGTTGAAATATGGCATGGTGTCTCAGTTAGCTAGCTCTATTTAAACGCCATTAGTCCAAACGAGTACAAGCAACCACAGACACACGTGCATGCACGTCGCGATATAATGTAATGATCTTTAACGCAACCTTAAACCCCATTTCGCCTCACAGCAATGAAAATGAGCTCATGTAACCGAATTTCTCATGTTCAAACTGGTATTCACTGTCTGCTGCGTCACGGTTGATTAACTCAATGCAAGCATATTCCAAGACAGTATTCTAGTTCAGAGGGGACACAATAACGAACAAATGATACTGTGGAATTAGCATTTTAACAATTACGACGCATTGTTAAAATGCTATAGTGAGTGAGTTAAAAATTAACGTCGCATCGGCATAAAAAGCTATAACAGGTTTGCACACTCTATAGTGTGGTTATTAGTAAGGTCAAATGAGGACCTTGAGCACTTTAAAAACAAGGTGCACTATGAATAATTATGAGTCTAGGGTTATTTCAGTAGTAGAAAAACTATGGAATGAAGACATTGAAAGGGGTGAGGTGAGGTGAAATTGGGTTTAACGTCGCGTCCAAGATTATTGCACTTATATAGCGACATGCATGCACGTGTGTGTGTGGCTGCTTGTACTAGTCCGGACTGATGCTGATTTATAGTGCCAGCTCAGTGAGATACCATGCCACAGTTTAGCATGAATACCCCACTCAGACACAGTATACTGACTTCGAGCCGACCGGTCCTTGTTTTCGCCCCTTAATGCCGAGCGCCAGACAGGGTAACAACAAGTACCATCTTTTAACATCTTGTGATATGACGCGGCCGGGGATCTAACTCCGGACCTTCCACTCTCCGTGCGGATGCTCTACCACAAGACCACAGAGGCGGTCAGACATTGAAAGGAATCACTGCACTTGTATTGCATCAACAAAGGAAACGCATGTCGACAACAATGGTAGATTGGACTGTTAAGTACCCTCAACAACGACGGTGGTTTACTGAAGATAGCAATCACCATTTTTACTATCGTTAATGCAGTTACTGTTTCCAATTGGAGAAATAAAACTTCACAGGAAATAGATAGTGAAGTATTTTTGGAGGACCATCCTATTGAATAAACCCCACATTCTACAGTCTCACAACCTTCTTGACAGTGTTTGAACACACAGTTTGTCCTATCCTATTCTACACAAGTTGTCTTGTCGTTTGTCGTAGCGAAAATCGCACCGTAGGTTAGGCAGTTTCTGAATGAGAAACCAACAATAAATGGGATAACGCTTAATCAGGGCGAATGGAAAATGATGAAACC